ATCCAAAAGGCTGCAATCACATAATTACCTTTTAATAACAAATATGTCCCACTCCAAGCATTCACATCCCATTCCATGACTGCACAGTGATACATTCCTTCATCTTCTGGGATTGTCCTGAATATGGTCAGACTGCTCATGTTTTTATTGTCTTTTACTTCCAATCTTGAGGCATTAAACCCTTGTCCATACTGAGGATGTGCAGTTTGCCGCAGTGTCGCAATCAGTTTCAGAGCTTCCCCTGCTCTCTGCTTGTACCAGTGAATTTTACTGCTTAAATCACCAGGAGGTAAAACACATGTCAAAGTTACAGGTTCACCAAGTTGAACTGTGGTCACTTGATCCAGCATGTCTGCAGTGAGTTTAAACAAAACACATGTTAAACACTATAGGAAAAAAACATTAACCATTACACATCTAGGTGCAGATTCTTAAATGACAAAAAGAAAATAGCTCATAATTAGACAGAACTCACCTCCTTGGTGAAGAAGAAAAACGAGTGTTACCCAAACCAGAGTCATCATCGCAATGTCTTTACTTGAAAACATTTCGATATTTCAGTGACAGAGGGAGATGATGCGACCCAGACCATCACTATCTGATTGGTTATCGCAGTCTTTACAGTCAAAGCCTATTTCCTGCCACACGGGTATTGTCCTGCATTGTGTGAAAAGACGGAGACACTAAAAATCTGTGACAGCACAAAACTGTTTATTACTATTGTGGTAACACATTTTCTTTGATTCAAGTTTTGCAGAGCCAACTAAACCATCAAAAACCCAGTACTGCTGAGCACGCTTTGTAGTAGACCGCTCTGGGGGGTTTCAGTGTAACATGAAAATCTTTCATTTTGAGTTTGTCATTATTTTAACTTTGAACTTATAACCCAATATGAGCCAAATGTGATTTTTTAAACCAATGAGAGGTGTTTAAAGTCTTATCTAATACCATCATTTCACCTCTTTCGCACAGTGAAATACCAATAAGGCGTCACATCGGCTGCAGCAGACGGTGGAGAATGGAGAGTGGAGAACCAATTGCAGACAACGGAGACGGAATTGAATATAAACAAAATGAGTCTTTATTTCTGGCTGCACAAAAATAGAAAACAACAAAAGAAGACTCAGATTAAACTAACAAAACCTAAACTGGGAAAAGCTAAACCGAAAACACTAGGTGCATAAAGAAAAGTACAAAAACCTTAAATGCAAAACCTGACACTTGGGAAACATGAAGAAAGATGAGCAGACAGTTCAGTACAGAGGATAACGAGGGAATGGGAAACAGGAGGGAATCACAGCTGGAACTAATCTGACACAACGAGACAGGGAGGAAGTGTGGTCGCACATTTTTTTAGCCATCCTGATAACCTTATCCCACCAATGATGTGGACATCCAACTTTTTTAGATCCAATTAAAATTAAGGCACTCAAAAAGATGCTCTGGAAAAGAGTTTAATACACTGAATCATATGAACAGCAAGAAAACACATACAGAGTATAGCAAGACGATACATAGCAGAAAGTAAGCAAAGCAACAACCTTAAGCACAGACAGCAGAGCAACACAGAGATGGACAGAAAGTAGCAGCAGG